GGTAGTTGATGGTGCCACAAGGCTTTTATTAATGTATGGTCCACACATCACACTATTATTGTTATATGGGGTATCAGAAGATTTTGGTAAGATACTACAATTATAAATAAAGAAGGTATATTTTAATACAACCATATTTATTTGTACGATTAATGTCTAATTAATTTAGATATTTATGAAAATGATGAAAGTTCATTTATTATGATTTTAATATTTATGGAAGATAACTAGAGTTCAATAATTATGATTAATACTTTATATTAGAAAACAATCAAAACTTTTATGAAATCACATATTCATCAAATTAAATGGACGGTTGAGATTGAGTTGTATTGGTTGTACAGCCAATCTCCGTCCGGCCCGAGGAAACCTTTGCACGCCTCCGATCGAAATTCCGTTATCGTTCAATTCTGACTTCACACATCATATGTGGATTGGTGGATTTCTCATAGTTGGTGCATGCGATGTAAAGGGTTGCATAATAACTCACCTCTCTATATATAATCATTTATATTTATCACAAAATGAATGGTTTATCGGTATCTAATTTCTTTAAGTCAGATTTAGATCATTTGATATTAATTGTTTTGAATTTTGCTACTTTATTAGGTCAAATCCGCATGTACGAATCGGAATAATCAAGCATAAGAACTATAAGAGTGGTGTCTGATTGATTTGAGCTTGGGCTCCAAAGGTTAAAAGTGTCTCGAGGTTCCAGGTTCAAATCCAAGGAGAAATAAAAAACCCTTTGTGGTCACGGAGGTTCAAATGCGGTGACTCTGGGCAACCCGCAAAGCAGGTGGTCGTTTTGGGATTATACGGCTTGCATAACGGGGTGGATATTCATGTTAATAAAAAAAAATCAAACACAAGTATACCGAATGCAGATAAATTACGTATGCCACCACGTGCCATTTTGCTTATTTTATTGAACGTCAATTTATCAGCAATTGCATCTACCTCACAAGATTCTTACCAGTCAGTTCAGGGGTTTTTATGCCATCAGCGACTACTGGCTTTATGTCTAATCAGTAAATTGGTTGGTATTTCACTATCATATATTTTAACATATTGTTCCACTCACATTCGAAATGAAATTGTCAAAAGAGTGAGACCCACCCATATCAATTTAGGCTCGGTATATATTAGACAACGACACACATAAAAATAATATCAAACAAAATGTTGCGGTTTGGAAGGGATATGCACGGTGCACCTGCCTCAACTCATATATGTGACTTTAATGCATCTTTTTGTTTCTTTTACGATTATGACATCTGAATTTTGGATAATTGAACTTACAGAATTCGAATCCATCGTCACATTCATTTAATCAGATGATGCTCTTCTTTATTAGAGTTTGATATTAACAAAAGAAACCAGTTATAACGAGGTTCACAATGCTTCTGATGCTCAACGAGATATGTCCATAACCAAAAGGGCCTTTAGCCTAGCGGCATGTGAGTCTTTGGCCTCCTAGGATGTCAGGGGTTCAAACCTCACGGAAGGTGAGGAAGGTGTGTGAGTTTATTTGTTCTATTTACCGTATATAAATATTATATACTAAAAAAAGGGGTCGTATAAAAATTGACATTATTTTTTGTGTACCTACGTGACTTTGATGCATCTTTTTTTTAAATTAATTTTGTACATATTTGAACTTTAAACGATTGAACTTACAGAATCTGAATCTATCATCACATACATTTACATCAAACGATGCTCTCTTTTATTAAAGTTTGGCATTGATGGGGGAAAAACCCAGTTATAACGACTTCAGAGTGCTTCTAATGTTTAATAAGATATGTCCATTAAAAAAGAATCAGATATAAATTGACATTATTTTTTTACTAGAAGGGTACTCGAACAATGCAGCGAGATATATATCGATTTTAATGTTTCATTTTATTCATTTTCTCTGTCGATATAATATGGTTTTTATGTGGTTTTTAGAAAACGATGATATTTTTGTTTTTGAATGAAATATAAACTTGAAAAAAAAAATATTGATATTAGTATTAAATTAACTATTCAAAAGATCTCGTCTTCTGTGTAATTTTTTTAATTCATTTTTTTATTGTAATTTAATTTAGATTTAATAACAAAGTAATTTATTTTTGTTTAATAATATAATTTTTATAAGCATGATAATTAAGTATTCTGTTATAACTCAACGATTATCCTAATTACATTTTAATTTTTTATATTTATAATGAGATTTTTATCATTTATTTAATTATGTTTATATAGCAGTTAGTTACACGAATTCAAAAATAGAGTTTTAATAAATTGTATTTATGCAAAATGTACTTGTAATATTGAATTTTAAGTAATATACATCAATAAACAATATTTTATGCATAAAAAATGGTTTTTAAGAGTTTTTATCAAAATTTGTTCGTTACAAAATGAGGGGTGTCTCTTTTCTTATTTTTGATTTGGTCAAGTGGTTGAGAGCATATTGCTAGGCATGGCAACGGGGCAGGTTTTGTAATCCCCGGCCCCCGGCCCCGGCCCCGGTCCCGGTCCCCGACGGGTACGGGGATTATCATCTCGTCCCCGGTCAAATTATAGCAATCCCCGGTCAAAACCCGGTAAACCCCGGTCAATCTCCGGTCAAAACCCGGTAAAAAGTATGCTTTAGTTTGATTATACCGGGGATCCCCGGCCCCGTTTTGAGTAACATTCCCCGTCCCCGGCCCCGTCCCCGGTTTGAGTCTACCGGGGATCCCCGGCCCCGGTACCCGTTTTAGCGGGGAATCCCCGTCCCCGTTCGGGTCAGATGAACCGGGTTCCCCACCGTGTCGGGACTGCTTGTTGAACTTCAATAATGCATAAATTTTATTATATGGTTTTCTCTTGCAAATGGGTTTCCTAAATGTGTAAACATTCAACCAACACAATAATTATGGCATAAAAGTTAAATAAGGGTTTTGTTTGTTTTTTTTACCAAACACTTATCGATAAGTGTTTATCAGTAAAATTTAACACTATTATTTACTTGCCGGGTAAGATGTTGGTTCACCAAAACGACATCATATGCAACAATTAACCCGATAAGAGTCGTTGCCCTCACTTACAAGGGTAATACTCATGGTTCTTGTCTCGCTCTTACAAGGTAAGATTGTTGGTCCTTACCATATTCATCCGATGAGGTAATGTGACTAGGTAAGCGCTTACCCGGATAAGCGTTTGATAAATGGCCTCTTAATTAGATTTATAATTGGGTATTTATGTAATTTTTAAGTAATGACTGAATTAGATAACTGTTAAGTCCGCTTTTATAACACAAAGGGAATAAATACGTAATTGTTGCTCGTGGTATAAAAATAAGATTCACAACTAAACAAAATGAACAACGGTCCATTTTACGGAGTTTCGTAATGCACCAACACGTAATTTATAACATACACTAACGGTCTCAATTTAAATTAATGATGCACAAAAAAGTTCAAGCTTGATCTGAAAAAGCCTAGTTAAAACTGAAAAGGACAAATTACAAGAAAAAGTAACGTACTTTAACTTGATTCCTATTTTGGGGTAACGTACTTTCAAAACTTCCATTTTTGTACCTAGGATATAAAGTTTTAAACATTTAAGTACCCGAGTAACCGGTTGAAGACTAATTTTAGATTAAAAAAATTCATGTCACTAACCACGTCAACAAATAATACCAATTTGGATACCACATTACTCAGCACATCAACATGATAAACGGTTAATGCTTCAATCTGTTACTCGGGTACTTACATGTTTAAAACTTTACATCTTAGATATCAAAATTGAAGTTTTGAAAGTACGTTACCTCAAAATAGGAATCAAGTTAAAGTACGTTACTTTTTCATGCAATTTGCACAACTGAAAAAGCCCTATCAAACCCTTTTCAACCCAAAGCCCAGAGCCCAACCCAATCTGGGCTTAAAAAACCGCTCACTCAAAAAGGGCATGGAAATCAGATACATAACTAACAAGTACATATACGTATTTGACACATAAAACATCAAAATAGAATGTACAAATTTCACCTCCATAAGGTACAATTATAACAACCCTTTTTATACATCATAATTGAAGGTAATAATAATGTAGGAAACTTTCAAACATGGTATAAATGCTTTTACTTCAATCCTTTTTCTCCTTTTTGCAACAAATATATGTATAGAATCAAATGGTCTATTTGACCTAGCGGTATTGTAGTCTTTGGTCTCCTATGAATCTGGGGTTCAAACCTTACCAAAAATGAGGAGGGTGTGTGAGTTTATTCTTATATTTGATGTATATAAATATTATATACTTCAAAATATATATATATATATATATATATATATATATATATATATAAAAGTTGATGATGCAATTATGCAATATCTCAACTACTACACCAAGCAAGACTCATTCTCCCATGTGATGTTACAACTTTTTATTGACAAAAGCAAAGGGAAAAAATTTCAAATTCACACCAATCAACACACACATACACACACTTACAAAATTGGATGGATAAAACTGTCTAAAATTACTTTATATTGTTCATGTATGTTTATTAATCTTAACAGGTTGGTCATAGCTCACCCAAATTTTTCGAGAATAGTTGTACAAGCCGCTTTTCTAGTGGGACCTCGCAATTACCAGATACTGGGTAGTAATAAAACATCATCTATAAAACTGGAGGAAATGAAGCTCGTTCCCATTTACAGCTCATTTCCATTTCTGAAGCAGACCAGACGTGTTCTTATATGAGGTTAACTCAACTGACAATAAAAGTATAAAACGTAGGTGTTTGAGGTTTCTACTCAGAGATAATCGGTTCGAGTTCCACAAGGTTATCGAAGACTTTTTCTAGATGTTCTCGAAACCCCTAGGATTAGTCAACGTATGCATAAAACGATCCAAACACTCCGTGGTTTTAAAAAAACCAATGGAACCACACACTTTTGACCCTTTTTGAGAAAAAAGTAAATTTCATCTCAAAAGGGTGAAAAGATCCAAGAGAAAGTGCCAAAGTTGGAAAACTACAAGTTTACATCATAGGGAGAGGGAAAGTAAAAATTATTCCATAAACTCTCTCAATTGAACCCGAGTTCGAGCCCTAGGAGGGAGTGTTGGCGACATTTAAGTGGGGTCATGTTTAGCCTCCAAATTTGCCGGGGATTAGTTGGGCTTTGGCCCGGACACCCTTACTACAAAAAAAAAAACTCTCTCAATTGAAATGGTTGATGAAAATATTTATGGTTTCAAAAACAAAATTTGTATCAAAATAGAACCAATTTTCACTTGATTTTTATTTTGGGAAAACAACTTTCAAAATTGTCATTTAGGGGTCTCTATCAAACTTTTTGTTTATTTAAAGGTCTAGTTGACATGTTGACCTATTAATGCTGACATTATTCAGATCTTTTGACAACTAAGATATTTCACGTCATAATATTTTTTTTATTTTAAAACTAATATTCCACGTCATATTTAAAATTGCAAAATAATTATAGAAAAATAACTAATATTCGTTTTTTTTCCCAAAAGTTATTCGTTTTTTATTCCAAATCTCGTTTTTTTTTTAAATCAGATATCAAATTGTGAGTAAAGAAGTTCATTTTTGAATAAATCTTCAATTTGATATCTGAATATTTAAAAAAAACGAGATTTGGAATGAAAAATAGATTTTATTACAATAATTTTTGAAAAAAAATAAATTTTAGTTATTTTTCTATAATTCTTTTGTAATTTTAAATTTGACGTGGAATATTAGTTTTAAAATAAAAAATTAATATGACGTGGAATATCTTAGTTGGCAAAAGATCTGGATGATGTCAGTATTAACAGGTCAACCAGATCCTTAAATAAACAAAAAGTTTGATAGAGACCCCTAAATGATAATTTTGAAAGTTGGTTCCCTAAAATAAGAATGGGGTGAAAGTTAGTTCCATTTTAGTGCAATTTTCCTTCCAAAAAAGGTGCATGTGCTTTTTTTTTACTGTTAGGGTGTTTGGGTCAGCTTGTAAGCGTTTCGACTAATCTTAGGAGTCGTGGAGAACAGCTAGAAAAAGCCTCAATGGTTTTGCAGGAGTCAAATCTGTGACATATAAGGAATATCCCCGAAATTCCAAGTCTTATTGTCAGTTGAGCTAACCCGCTAAACTTGTAGGGTTTGAGGGTAAAGTGGGAAACTAATAAAATCCATAGCAAAGACTTATCTTGCGATCCAAAAGTTCAAGATAGTATTAAGAGTCCGTTTACCACATGCTTATTGGGTAAAGGTTTATTTGTGTTCATTTATATATGTTTTTGTTTCCTTATATACAGAGATCTTCTTTTGAGAACCCATAAAATTGTGATAACATTGAGAACTTGAGCACCAAATGTTATCTCATTGATTTTTTCCATCTAAAACTAAAATTTAGAATATTGATTAACATATATTTGTTTCACGATGTGTTTTTTCACATGTACTCGGTTCACAATATACACACTTTTTACTTTTTTGTGAAACAAAAGTTACACATAAAAAAGTTTCACATTGTAAACCAAATGCATATGATAAACACAATGTGAAACAAATAAATGTTAATCAATATATTAAACACTATATTTAGACGAAAAAAATTATATGAAACAAAACCTTAAGGTAGAAGTTCTCACAGATCTCACAAATTTTAGAGTTCTCAAATGATTAAACTCATATATATATATATATATATATATATATATATATATAGGTGGAGGTTCAAACGAGAACCCCTGTGATTTACGAGAATGCAAGAACAACCCAATAACCTCAAATTTTTTTAATTA